AGATTAATTTGGTATAAATATCTCATTTTTGAATCTGAGGGTCGAAACCCACTTTTTCCTAGAACAGCCCCCATATGTAGTGTAATTAATGCCGATCATTTCTTAAAATTGAATACCTGCTATGTTATTTCAACCAGATCTGCAAATGGTCGAAATAGTTTTGACTTCATGTATGACAAGGAAGCAAGAATAAGATTTTTTTCAATTTGTGTTTAAAAATTCCTAATGCTGAAAAACAAAATGATAATGCACATCGTGAACTAATAAGAAGTTATTACTTCTTTGGGGAGGAATTAGAAAAACGTCTTACCCAGTATAAAGATCTTCCAGAGCATGTGGTCCACAGAAAGATTAATAATGAAGTTAGAGATCAACTCCCAAAGGAGATTCCAAACCCACAATTTGAAAGAAAATGGAAAGAGCTTGAAAAATTTATGACCTTTTTTTCTGTATTAATGATGATAAAAATCAATGGATGTTATATATCCAACGAATAAAAACATTTACAACATCATCTGTTTCAAAGTTAAGTTTGGACAATATCAAATATGTAGCATCTCAGGTTAGAAAGGATACTGGAACTTGAATTTTCTTTAATTATGTGCAATTGTGACACTAGGTCCAGTGTTGTGACCCAAAACTCTGAGTTTAGGGAAGACCCAAAACAGAAACTAACAGAAACCACCTGAAACTAGTTTAAATCATTTATCACATTTGGAAATTTATATGCAATTGGTTAATCAAACTTTATTTATATGACATAAAAAATAGCCAAACTTATAGACCATGATCCAGTCAGTGTTGTGACCAGAAACTCTTTTGGCTTCCCAAAACGTTTTGGAAAATGAACTTACACTAAGCAGAAAACTAAACCTAAACCTAAACCTAAGCATAAATTACTAACCTAATTGTGTAAATAAGGCTGTGCAATGAAATTATTCTTAATTTTCAATGCATACAACCACCTGACTATATATAATGCATGCATGATTTATTTGTGTGATTAACCAAATTCGATTTGAGAGAATTCTTGGTGTAAATACATATTGCTTTATCTTTCTGGATTATTCATTTGATAAGATGTGGAAGGAAAACATTTAAAAAAGGGCAGTATTTCAAAATAATAAATATTTATTGCTTTTGCTATTTCTAGCTCTTCCAAATTCTTAAAGTTTATATCACAATAATAACTTTTTATACTTTTATTTTATTTTTATTGCAATGTCTGACTTGATTTCAAGAATTGTGGCTCTTTTATTACAAGAACTGTTAGAAGCTATATGTGGTGCATCTGTGGTTTATATGGCAATGGAAGGGAATTCATTAGTGCTGATCCATTTTTTTTAACATAGTATGGTTGGCTCAGTCTAAACACATCCTATTGCTGCGCCATATGGCCAAAATTTCAAAATAGCAATTTTGTAATTCGTTCAAAAATGTAATAAAATTTTTCAAAAAATAGGACTTCACGTGATTTTAGTTTTCTTACATTTAGATACTAGTCGTGTGACATTTCCCTGAGGCTGCTTTTCTATATGTGAAAATAAACTCGAAATTCGTGTCACATGAAGTTTTTTTAAAATATCTCGTGATTTTTATAATAAACTCGAACTTCGTTGTTAGACTAAAATGAAAGTACTCCATTAAAGCTTTCTAATGAATACTCTTTCATATCAAAAGGTATCCTCTACATGAATTCACGGCTATTCAAAAACGGTATTACTTTTTCACTTCAAACCTC